AAAAGCTGGTATAGGTAGCCCTTGAGTTAAAAGAGTTCATTTAGTGACTATTTGAAGATATAACAGCACTGAAGGAAGTAGCTTACAATTGCAACATTCTCGTGGCATGTGATTAAAGTTTAGAAGCTTGACAACTGACTCATACTTATGATGGGTGCAGTGTCCTAGGGTCAGGTGGTTGCATTTTGTGATCTGAAAAGCGAAGTCAATTCGCTTAAGAACCATGTTACTAATTCAACAACTGCAGTTAACAAATGTAGCAAGAAAAGTCATTAAATTAAGCAAAACTCACTTAACAAAATGCCTCGCTTAGCAACAGAAGCTCTGGACTCAAATGTGGCCATTAAGTCAAGGACTACCTGTAATATATATAGCCATTCGCCCCGAAAGCTAGCTTACCATGGGCATCCCCTTATAATGGCACCCCCCCCCTCATAATGTGGAGTGGGGGGTCCTTTTGGTGTTTGGGGATTTGTAACAGCCCAGGAAGCTAGAAGTAAAACATGTAACAACTGCACAAATATATCAAACACTACAACAGTGCATCAAAGCAGAGGTCCTTTTACTGGACACTGGAAGGTTGGTCTTCAACTCAAGACGGGAATCCATGTGGCTGGTCCAGATGAATCTGAACTTCGTGGATCTGTGGCAGTTGCTCCAAGAGACATGTAGCCCTCCCATCCACCCAAACAAGCCTCCCACCACCCGGTTGCAGCTACTCTGCCGCCGTCAGTAGCAGAGCGCCATGGGTTGCAGCATCAGGAAGCGGATGGGCATCATGGTCTCTATGTCGATTCCTTCCCATATCTAGTGTCAGAAGGAAAGAAAAAACAGAGTTAGAAGACAATTTCTGATCTTGCAAATCTTCAGTCCTACTTCAGAAAGGAGCAAATGTTACATTCCAGAACGCTGACTCACAGTTGACTTGGCCTTAGATTTTTCCCAAAAAATAGCTGGTGGGAGAGATTCACTCCAAAGAGGATGCATGGACTTCCCTACCTTTGCTTGGTCCTGCGTGAGGTGGCTTCCTCTTGGGAACCTTTTGCCCACCTCCCTTAAGGAGGACTCTTTTCTGCTTTCCTTGGGCCAGCTAACCTAACCCTACCACCCTTGTAAAGTTCATAACACCTTTCTCCAATTACAAGTTGAAATAGACCACTAAGCAAACAGGCACAAGGGCTGTCTATCCCTACAGAGCTGAAAATAGTTGGGATTCCCATCTTCCTTCTGGCTCCTATGCTTGAGAAGCCACAAGGGCAGCCCTGGAAAGACAAACATATGGCTGCAACTATTCTGTGGTTTGCACAATTAATGAATATAGATTAGCTATGAATGTCTGTAATGAATCATAACTTCCGTTTATGGATATAGATGTTCTGTAAATATATATCCTGCATGTTTTCATTTCTTGTTTTAGCTTGTTCCTTTAGAATTTGATGCTTTCTTTTTTTGTATTTATTAATTAGAAAAAGGGATAAAAGAGGCTGTATGTTTTTTTCTTTACACAAGACTCCAGGGGGCACTTGAAAGGGGGAAAAGAAGTCACAAAAAAATCAAAGCCTGCCTGTTTTTTACATGGGTTGCATGAAGAATTGTGTTGTTAACTTTTATTAATAAAGTTGCTAATATTTCTGCAAAAGTCTTTTTTATACCATTTGGCCTGTACACTTATAGTCGGGATGACACGACATAAGGAAAAAGAGGCAAGGAGGGAGAAGGAAAACTTAACACACTGGATAACTACGACATCTCTTAAATTATTCAACCAGTGAGATATCACACAATGAGTATTTTTAATATTGTTGGTATATGATGGCTCTACTGCATTCATTTCACTTTTAACAGCAGTTATGTTACAAAAAGTGTGTTTTTTTTCTTTATGATACGTAGAGTACTTTCTCCATGGATTACAAGCAAAAAAACATATTGCAGGGAGGGAAAGAGGGAGGGAGGGAGAGAGGAATCAGAGAAGAGATAGATGGATAGACAAATGGATAAGCAAGTGAAATATAGATGAGATAAAGAGATATAAAATGTGAAGATATAGACAAAAGAGATAAAAAAAGAGAGAGAAAGGGTGGATAAAGATATAGATGAAATAGAGATGGATGGATAGATAGATGAGAGAGATAGAAAACTTGTCCCGATGTTGCTAAACTATAACTCCCAGCAACCTCAAGCCAGAGTAAGGGATGCTGGGGGCTGTGGTCCAACAGCATCTGGAAATCTATGTTTGGCACCATCTCTAATTTTCTTCTATCATGCTCTTGATAAAGATTAGTGAATGAAAGAAGTTGACGTGAGGATCAAGATGAATCCCCCTTGAAGGCACTAAAGACCTTAGCCAAGCTCTTCATCGTTTCTCCTCCTCAGGTTTTCTAATATCACTTGGGGGATCTCCATCTTCTGAAATGCTCCGTGTAGTTGCTTCTAAAGTTGGCCTGTGTTGTGTCAGACCCGGGCACAGCTACCCAACCTTTATGATTGTGGCACTGAAAGCCAGAGTGGAAAGACACCTATCTGAGAAAGTCCTCAGTGCATCCTCAGAGCCAACCCAAGGACCCGGATCCTATGAGCAAGGAATTCACGGCTTCCAAATAGCATCCTTTGTGTAGCCGTGCAAGCCCGTTGTGTGAAGGTGTGGTATCTTAGCAAGCTTACATGGAGGACAACCCAATCAAGTATAAAATCCCAGCCATTTGAAAGAGAAATGGCAATAGACCAACATAAGGTTGACCTTGGGGAAGATAGAGATTATTAGCAAAATGGGAGGTCAGCTCAAGAAACAAGACCACATCAGAATGAAATTTAACAAGGCTACCCTTGGCATAAAAGGGAGAGAAAACACCAGGCTTTCAAGGTGCTGTAGGAGCTGGTCTCAATGCTCTCTCCTCTGCCTCTGTAGCACACAGGCAGCTTCAGCATGTAGCTGGTTCACCTCGCCTGGCTGATCTGAGGAGAAAACCCTAGGAGTTTATTTTATTTCATTTTTAAAAAAACCTTTCCACTGGGTGCCTGGAAGAAAAAGGGAGCCACAGAGTCCTTCAGTGGCTCTTCAAGATGGTCGCCATATTTAAATGCAACTGGCTGTTTCATTAAAAGCAGGGCGCACAGTAAATTGGAACAAATGCAAAGAAAAACCCTAGGAGTTTATTTTATTTTATTTAAAAAAACTTTTCTACTAGGTGCCTGGAAGAAAATGGGAGCCCCAGAGTCCATCGGTGGCTCTTCAAGATGGTCGCCATATTTAAATGCAACTGGCAGGTAGTTATTCAACGGGACTTAAAAGCAGGGTGCAAAATAAATTGGAACAAATGCAAAGAAAAACCCTAAGAGTTTATTTTATTTTATTTTAAAAAAAACCCTTTCCGCTGGGTGCCTGGACAAAAAGGGAGCCATAGAGTCCATCTTTAACAAGGTCGCCATGTTTAAATGCAACCGGCTGTTTAATTAAAAGCAGGTGCAGTTATTCAAGCGGGACTTATTCTTAATTTTAACACAAATGGCTATACACACGTAACCCCCCTCCCCAGGGACGAGCGTTTGTTTAGGGGTGTTCACAAAAACGAACGAATTCAGAAAGGCTACTGACCTGGGACAGGCAAAACGGCGACCAAAACGAGGCCTCCGCGGCCATGCGGCCTGGAGAGAAGGAGCCGGAAGTGGGGGTTTTTTTGGTCACGTGGCGGAAGCAGATTGGGTGATTTTTGCAATGTTTTGCTTTCCTGCTGCTTGCTGGACTTGAGGACTAGAGAGCTAGAATTACTTCTGTATTTTATAATACTTTCTTTTTTGTTACTCTGTGGAACTGTACTTCTGTCCTTTGTAATCCCTTTGGGAACTGCTCTGCTTCCTATTGTGCTGGTAAGTGCAGCACTTTGCAAGATGGTTTGTTTGCATCTGCCTGAAATTGGTAGCCTGCGGCTGCTGCTGCCGCCTCCTCCTCTCCCTGGCACAGACCCAGCAGAGATTCTGCTGACTCCTTACTGCAGGGGGTCTTCCCACTTGGCCCTTGTATGACAGGGGACTTCAACTCCCAGAATTCCTCAGCCAGGCATGCTGGCTGAGGATTTCTGGGAGTTGAAGTCCACAAGTCATCAAAGGGCCAAGATGGAAGACCCCTGCCTTACTGGAAGGAAATCCCCTACCCACCACCCCATTTTGGATTTTGCCTGGAGAGGTTGTACTGATCAGGGGAAGTTTTTTTTTTTTTGTTTAAAAAAAGGTTTTTAAATTTAAATTGCCCCCAGACTAAATGACCTCAAGGTCCCTTCCATCTCAGTTACTGTTGCAAGCCGGCAATTTTGTAAACTCTACCCTCGTCTCCCTCTGCATACCTGGTTGGAGACTCTTAAGATAGTGGCCAGCAAGTGTTTTTTTAAAAGGTTTTTAATTTAAATCACCTCCAGAAGTTGTGGGTGTTGAGAGAGACAATGAGAGGGAGGGAAGGATCAAGAAAAAGAACAGGGAAGGTGGGAGGAAATATCAAAGGATGGATGGGAGGGGGAGAGGAAGGGAAGGTGCCCTCCCCCAGAGACCCACGGATCCCCCCATCTGAATTTGTTTGATCTCACATCTGGATTAAAAATAAGCACATTTAAAGGAAGTTACTTAAGGGCAGAAGAGTTGCTATTTCAATACATTTTTTTTCTGAGTAAAAGATGCTGTAAAGGAATACCTGAAATAAAATTGAGTTTGGCTGCACCAATGTAACAAGTCATTTCTCATTTTATTTTAGCAGGCAATGCTTGCTATTTGAGACAGCCTTTCAAATTCATAGATGGGATTTACTTATATGGCACTTTACTAATTTCTCAAACACAGTTTAATTTGCTGGTCTCAACTATGCTAGAGCTGCATTTTAATCGACTTCATACATAATAGCGGTTTAAAAACTTGAGTCAGTGGCACAAAGGCTCTAGAGGAACATAATAATCCCCATGAGCTCTGCCCACATTTCCCGAGGGAAACAAAGCTTTTAATTCAAGCCACTCCGAAAGGCCAATCCAGTGATGATCTTTATTGATATCAACAGATGAAGTTACACAATTCTTCCTACATTGAATTAAAATTTAAAAAGCATCACTCTAGGATACCTCAAGCGTCTTCATCTCCCCAGAAATCGTGTTTGGAAAACAAGCCAGCTTATTCATGGGCTGCCAAGTTTTTCCACCACACAGAAACAGCCAGTCACAATTCACAGGAAAAAAAAAAAATAATAAAAGCAAGGAATGACGTTTAGCCTGAACCTGGACCCCACCAGCCCCAGACAGAATAACGATACTGGAGAGGGGAAGGGGGTTGCAACTGCTTGCACAACCAACGCTTTGGCTTTAGTGTCCCTTGTGATGTATTTTGCTCTAGGGGTATTATGCTGAAACACCAAACTCATTGGGACGGGTCCAAAGCAGGCTCTGTTTAGTGATGACTATTAGCCCCCTTGTGTACACATTAAGTTTTATTGTAACAAAGCAACTTGTACACTTTTTTAACGTTTAAAACTGAGCATCTTTCTTTTTTCCAGTGAAACAAAAAAAAGTTGGAAAAAAAAAACCAAAACAAGGAACAAAATTACAGTAGAGAATGTAAATTCCAAATAAGATCCTACAGGGTTTGCTGATTCTCCGTCAAGTGGAAGGGCTGAACTGTAATCATTAGGAGAATTTAATTAATTTTTTTTTCATTTCTAAAGTGTCGTCTTAAACTGCAAAGATGTTTGTTAAACATCACGATTAAACATGCCAAAAGGAGAAGAAGCCATGTTTTGTCAAAATGCCCATTTAACCCACCCCAACATCTGAAACCCACCCCTTGCTTACCCTGTCTATAACCCCCCATTTTTTTTAGCTTTTTTCATTTTTTTTAAACAAGAGAAATAGACAGATACATGTTGGTAAATGCTAACTGTCCATATTCACATAAGAGACACAGTGTAATCTCTGAACCCAATATACAGAGAGAAGGAAAAAGCTAGATTCTATGCACTACCACACAGGGGGGCCTAGCACTCCGCAGCCTCCAGCAGGAGCAGACGGTTCTCGTTCTTCCCCACAGAACACAGTGCGCTGATGCCACTGACAGTTTTTTTCTTTTTTCTTTTCATTTCAAAAACAGGGATTAAAAAAATTGAAATGGGTCGAGATTCTCTTCCACTGTATTCTGCTCAAGATATTTTTCTCCAAAATTATTTGTGAACCATGGTGAAGAGAAGAAAGAAAAGACCTCGGGAGAACAATGCGACTGAGTACAAGAGGGCGGGGGGGGGGAATGGAAGGGGGGAAGGAATAAGACAGCAATTTGCTCCCAGGGACTGGTGGAGGGAAAAGGAAGGTTGGAATCTGTCAGTGTTCAGTCGTCATCTCCTTCATCCTCCTGTGGAAAGAAAATCAACGCTTTCAAATAAATGGTTGGTTAAGCAATGGCTAAATAAACCACCTGCACGGTAAGTTTCCTTTGCTTTACACTCTTGTGGCCTGACAAACCATGGAAACAAGAAGCAATAAGGGGGTAGTTTGAACAAACTTAATGTAAGGCTCTTATTACTGAGGCATGCTTAGCGCTGTTCCATTTGGGGATTGTGAATCCTATTAATAGCTTTGGGGTCCTAGCCTGAAGTTCTTTTGTGCTGTAGCGGTACAGCACTGCCAACAAACAGATTACACTAAAAGATGAACCTCAACTTGAAATGACCACCACCCACAGAGGGAGAGGGAGAGAGAGGGAGAGAGAGGGAGAGAGAGGGGGAGAGAGAGAGAGAGAGAGAGAAATAACACCACTGTTCTATTTTGACCAGAGGCAATTTTCAAGAGGAAAAATCAGGGTTCCTTTTAGGTAAATAGGGTGAAGTGGGCTTTGGCTGGGCAAACGAAGGAAGGAAGGGAGATGGGCCTGTCGGTGCCTTTGGGCCAAGCACAAAAGGAGGTCCTGGGGAGTAGGGTTTCCTGACCTCAGCAACTTTAAAGGTGTGCGGACTTCAACTCCCAGAATTCTCCAGCCAGGCTCTGGAGCATAATATGACCTAAGTAAAATAGCAGGTTACACCACGTACAGGAGAAAAACCCATTAACTGGTGCTTATGCAACTTGCCCAGTGGCATTTCTCCCCTATATTGGTAGCAATACATCAGTTGATGGCAATAAAAGAAACGTTTCCTTCTAAATCAATTCGTGTGCCGTCAATAAGCTAATAGTGCTAAGCCAATCCTGTATATATACTTTGAATTTCATGGGAATTTATTAGCAAAAATCAAGCCTCCTGCTGGCTGACACGAAGGCGAGTTATACAAGTTGCCACTGTAACTGTAGCAGCAGCTGAATTTGAACTCCTAATCAGCCAAAGCAGTGGTCTATGGTGAAGTATTCCGCCCAGGGAATCTCCAAAGACTAGTTCTGTTCTGAGCTTAAAGTTCAGGGCAACACAAGGTCACTAACTGCCATCCCAAGAGGGAAATCTTAGAGCTCTAACCTCTCCTTCTTCTCCCTCATCATCATCTTCATCTTCCTCACCCTCATCTTCATCACCTTCCTCATCGATGTCCTCCAAGCCTTCCTCCTCTTCGTCGTCGTCGTCATCCTCCTCTCCCTCACCTTCTTCATCATCCATATCAGGTACCTTGTTGGGCACAAACAGAGTTAGCAAAGGGCCCCCTGCGCCTTAGACAGCCACGCAACCGGCGGGTCTTCCCGGTGGACGCTCACCAAGTAGTACTGCAGCGGATTTGGCCAGATGTCATCCTTGATGACCTCCCCCAGTTCATCGGCGCCCGCATCAGAGTGGTCGGTGAACCAGGTAAAGAAGCTCTCCGGTTCTTCATGCTGCCTCTTTCTGCTGGCCTTGTTCTGCGTCTGGCTTGAGCGCTTTGTCAGGTCCTTGGTCCGGAAAACAGGGAAAGATTAACCCTCCCACCTGCCTGTTTTCTACCACAACTGCTTGGGTGTCAATTTACAACTCGATTTGTTATTAAAAAGTTAGCAATTATGTAACTCCCCCCCCAACACAGCAGATCCATTTGATGTTTCTGCTACAATTTGGAAGTTGAGTTCATCTGCCTCGCTTCCTTTGACTGTCTATCGTGGCACAGAAGTCAATAACTGTGAAGGAAAACAGAGCTTCGTGCTAGGAATGGCTGTTGACAATTACAAATATTGCAGCCAGTTACAATTCAAGCGTTATGGAAGGAGCAACTGCAGGCAGACATGATCTGCAAGTTATATCTCTCATCGTGAATGTAAAGGGAAAAATCACAAATATTGAATGATCCCAAAGGAAGCCAACATAAAGCTTAACAGTCTCAGAACAAACCAATTCAATTCAATTTTTCACATTTATCATTTCCATTGGTCTGCAGCAGACTGATCATGGCTTCCAACTGAGACCCTCCTTTTCATGTTATAGGGTGGGATTCAACCTGACTTGCTGCTGAGAATTTTAAGGAACAACCCCCAATGGTTTATTCCATGTGGTACTTTGTCTGCTCCCAATTCTAACCAGAGGAAACGCTACATTAACAACCTGAATCAACATTCTAACCAGAGCGACAACTCTACACGTTTTATTAAAAGCCATCAGCTTTCGTGAACTTCTGCTACCACTCTTTTTTTTACTATTACATATGGTGATTTTATACTTAATGGCGTTAAATACCTTCCCAGATTTCCATTTGATTTCACTGGACTTGGATGAGGGGTCTCCACTTTCATTCAGATGAAACTCTTTGGAGAGCATCTTGTTTTCAAAATAGGGATTCTCATCAAAATACTGCATTTAAAGGAACAAAAATAGAAACACTGAAATTTACACATTGCGTGTAGCATGATCTCTAAATTGCCTACCATCCATACATTAAGCTTATACATGTTTCCCCTGCACAACTCAAGTATTGATTGTTCCAACCCCCCCCCCGCCCCCCAATCACCTCAAAAGGGTTGTAAACCCATCCTCTGGAGGATATTTTGAGACATGCTACATAGAAAATGTATTTCAAACAGCATTTAAAAAAAATTACACAACTGGAAAGAAGTGTAAAAATGGTGGCGTACACCTGTACTTACAAAATCTATTCTGTAACCTGATTTGATGTCCTCAAACTCTGTCACCTCAACTCTGATCAAATAATGCAATGCCTCTTCATCTTCCTCTCCCAGCAGTGCAGATACTAAAGCAGGAAGATGAAATTTGTGTTACAAATAGTTTCACAGGAAGCCACTTTCTCATTAATCAGATCTATTTCTCTCTCAAATGTACGCTTCCCTACTAAATTTCTACATTAAATGTTCTAGAATGCTAAATTTAACAGGGAATTTGGAGGAACAATACTAGGTACGTTCACTGCTTTATTTATAAAAATAATAAAGCATGGATTAAAAAAAAATCTAAAATCTAATCGAAAATAGGAACTAACTCATTGACTTTTGCATTTTAAAACTTTCATTTTGCATGTGATGTGAAAGATTACAAGTCACTTAGAAATTGTTTTGTAAGTTTCCAGGTAAAAATACATAAAATAACTTTGCTTACCTTGTGGGTGGTTGACAAATGTTGTAACCCAAAAGTTGGGGATTTTGGCGATCAATTCTGACCTTTTCTGGAAGAATGGTTGGCGGAGTTTGTTGTATTTCTGTTCTACTTTCAAAATTTCCTCACTGGCTTGTTCGTTCAGTCTGAACACAAGATTTAAACATGTGTAAAAACTTTTACGCAGTACTTAAAGCTGGAGTACTAAACAAGTTTTAACCCAACATGGAACCTTTCACATAGTGAAATGCCAAATCCACACTTTTATTATAAAATGTAACATTTATCAAAGACAGATTTTGTTTTGGCCTTAGGTAGTAAATTTCAGCTGAAAAGTTCCAGTGCACAAAAGAAATAAATTGAGCATTAAATAGTTTTAATTGTTCTGCATGAGAGCTCTTGTTTTGCAGAAATAATGTTACAATTTATGTCAAATCCTCAAAACATTGGGAGGAAAACTGAAACAGGCAAATTGTGTTACATTGTAAAAAAGGGACGTTTTTCAATAAATTCCAAGCAAAGGTTCATGTTTTAGACACTGAAATTCTGTATATTAAAAGCCACCTCCTTAGGATTACATTGTATCAAGCTAATTATGAAATCAGGAAAAAATATTTACAATACAATCTTTTTACAGGATGGCAAACTAACCACAATACAGATTTAAAAGCATAGTTTACCTGTCTATTTCGTTCTGTACTTCATCAATATGTTCAATCGCTTCCTGCTGCTCTTTGTCTGGGGGGTGGGGGAAATAAAAGTTTATTGAAGCCCCTATAAAAAAGATCAAACTGGGGACAAGGCAATGTTTTGAAAACATCACACATTGCATCAAGCCCCCAGGCCTTCCACAACGTTGTTCACAACAGCTGATATCCGGCCCCTTTAAAACAGATACAGCTCCCCCTCCCTACAGGAAGGGAAGACCCTGCATCTGGAGCAAGCGCTTAGCTTAAGGCCTTCCAAGGCCTTCTGTGTTGCCCCCGCCCACAAATCCGTTGAGGCGGGCATGCAAGAAGGGGATCCATCCCTTCCCCTTGGCCTAGCAACCTGGCCATGTGACTCTGGACCAGTCCCTTCCTCCCAAGCCCAACCCACCTCGCAGGGTTGTTGTGCCGGGAAAAAAGGAGGCGGGATGCTTACGCCAGCCCCCGGCCTCGAATAAAAAGGCGGGATGCTGAAATCTCCTCCCCGGGGGCATAAAAAAGGCCAAATCCACTCCACCGTACATCTGGCTGTGCCCTGAGCCCTAACAAGAACCGCCCCGCGCTTGCTTCCGGTCCACCCGCCCCCCCCTCGCGGGAGCAACCCCCCCCATCCCAAAGATGAAACCAGCCGCATCGAATGGCGGGAAAAGGCCCCCTCCCCCACCCTAACAAAGTTTCCCCCCGTTCCGCTGCAGCAGCAGCAGCTCCTGCAGCCAGAAGGCGCCCCCCTCCTCCTCCCCCCCGGGGGGATGTTGGGAGAAATAACCCCTTTCCTCCCGCCCCCTCCCTCCCTCCCCGCCAAGCCCCCCCGGCACGTGCGCCCCTCGCGGGGGCGCTCCCCCCCCCAGGCAGGCAGGCAGGCGGGCTGGCACGTGGCGCCCCCGGAGAGCGCGGCCCCCGGCCATGCGGCGAGCGCAGCCATCATGGCGGCCCGATCGGCGAAGGGGGGCGGGGGGAGGGAGGGAGCGGCGCCATCGGGCCGGCCGGGCCTGGCTGGGCGGCAGACAAAAGGGGCGCCGAAGATGGCTTCCTCCGCCGGCCCAGCCAGCGAGGGAGCGATCGGCGGGCCAGGCCGCACATCCGGCCTCCTCCTCCTCCTCCAGCCCGCCGCCGTTCGCGCCTCCGGGGAAGATGGCGGCCGCGCAGAGGGAAGCAGGCGGCAAGGGAGGGAAAGGAGGCGGCAGGCCCCGCCCGCGCCTACCGGAGATCTCGTCGGCCCCGTCGTGGTTGGAGTTGAGCTCCTTCTTGGTGACTTTGGCCGCCGGCGCCGACATGTTGAGGGAGGAGGGAGCGCGGAGCCTCGCCTCGCCTCAGACCGGCCTGGCCCGGCCGCCGCGTTCCTGCCGCCGCCGCGCTCTCCCCGGCTCTCGCTCGCCGGCTCTCGGCCGCGCTCCGCCCGCTGGGCCGCAAGGCCGCGCTTCGACCGAGGCGGCGGTGGGTGGCCGAGCCCGGGTCGCCTCACGCGATGACCGCCGCCGCCGCCGCCGCCTCCTCAGGCTCCTCCAGGCGAGGGGCGAGCGCTGCGCAGGCGCAGAGAAGTGCTTTCTCTCCTCGCCCTCCCGCGGCCGCCAGCAGACTGAAGGCGCGCACGGCGACTGCGCAGAGCAAGGCCCGACTCGGCCGCTTCTACCGCCCCCTGAGACGCGCAGGCGCAGAGGCGGCCCCTCCCGGACGCTGGGCGACGGCGAGGGGGGCACCGCGCACGCGCACTCGGCCTCTTCTCCGCGGCGGGCGAAGGCCCGCGGGGGAGCGCGCAGGCGCGCGCGGGGCCTGTAAGCACTCTCCCCAATCGGGTGGCAGCAGGAGAGAGGATGAAGTCGAGCCAAGCCGCATGCGCGGCTGAGAGAGAGAGAGAGAGAGAGAGAGAGATAGAGAGAGAGGGAGAGAGAGAAAGACGTCAGCGCGGCTCCCTTACTCCCGCCCTCCGCCTGTCGGCCTTCTGCGCAAGCGCACGGCCGCTTTCCCCCCCCCAGTAATGGAATAAAGAGAGGTCAAGTGGCCCTGCTCGAGAAGAAAAGCGTTGTGCGCAAGCGCGGCTTCTCCCCCCTCCCTTCTTGAAACGCGCTTTTTTTTCCCAGCGGGAGATGTTTTGAGCGATGGGGCGGAGCTGAGGACGGAGAGCCCGCCCCTCTCCGCTCTGGATTGGTAGCCGAGGGTTACAATAGGCAGCGCAGAGGCTGGGAGTGGGCGGAGCGATCTGGCTCTATCTAGTCTGATGCCCGCGGGGGCGAGAGAAAAGTAGGGCGGTGGGTGCGCATGCGTAGGCTGCTGCGCGCGGGAGCTTCCTGCCTTTTGTGCGCTGCGGGGGGGCGGCTCTTCAGGTTGCTTTGGGGCTTTGCATGCATGGCACATGTTGCACGTTGCACGCCTCCGGCCTTTCCTGCAAGTAACACACGCTGGTGCAGAAAGGCTCCCCTTTCCAAACTGGGGGGGGGGATGCAGTTGGAGAGCAAGTGGCCCCCCGTTCAGGCATGCCCTTGCAAGGGAAAGCAAAGCATGCCCATAACTACAGCCCCCCTTTTCCCCAGGTGCCTGGGGGCTGCAAGGAAATGCTGGAGAAAATGCAAATTTTTCGAGCTTCGCAATCATTAAACCAATTTTTCCCCCCTAAAGGCAGAGCAGAATCAAGACTTTAGTGGGTGCCAATTTACTTGGGACAGATCCCAAACAACCCCATTCTTTTAATTCCAGAGAGCCAGAATCAGAAGAGTCTTCCAGGTAGTCCAACCCCCTTCTCTGGAAGGAGACTCTATACCACCATTTCAGACAAAAGTTAGGATCTTTAACATTCCCTGAAGCAGGACTGGCTGAGGTGGGGAGCCCGGATGGGTCTGGTAAAGCAAAACTCTCAGGCCATCAGTTTAAAAACTCTTCTGTATTTTACAACAGAAATAACTTAAGAGAAACCAACATCCCGAGAAAGAGCTCGTGTACAAAAGAAGCCCGAGCCGTTTCCGAAGCTCTGCATGTATGGACGAGGCTGTGCTATTTTTCCCAATTGTTGGATTCCTAATTGCAAACGCCTTTTCAAGTTATAATGATGGATTATTTTCCGATTTTCTTTTTTTAATAAAAACACTTGAAAGAAAAGGAAACGGCCTCTCATTCAACTGTCTCCTACTACACCTAAAAACAGAAATGGGGCGCAGGGCGTAAGCCAAAAGTGGAACCAAACTGAAAGTCTGTAACACGTCAATCCAAAGACTCAAAGGCAAAAGAAAACACGCGTCGGGCTCGGCCGGCCATCGGCGTCCCAGGTTCGTTCTGGGATCGGAGCAAAGCGGCAGACCCAACAGGGCAGAGCGGAATGGCCGGAGCCCTCTAGGTGCGATTCAACGTCTGGAAGATGCGGGAGATCTGTAACATGACCGGCCCAGTTTCTGGGTCGTTCATCCACTGCGTGCTGTTCAAGGGGTTTTCCAGCATGTCTTCAAAAGCTGTTGGAGAAAAGAGAGAGGATGGAGGCAGTGGTGCAAATGGTTATAAATGCGAGCTGATTACCCACCATGCAGGTGCAACCAGTAGAGTTGCTGTTACTTTTATCAGTGTTTCTCAACCTTCACAATTTTTAAGATGCATGGACTTCCAACTCCCAGAATTCTCCAGCAGCACGGGGAATTCTGGGAGTTGAAGTTGCAACAGAAATCTGGATTATAATGCAAACATTCCTACCTCCCTCATCTCCTCAGTCTGCATCCAATTCCTGGGAAGCCCCGAGACTTACCAAGTAGAGTTTTAGGGTTTGTCAGCCCCAACTGTACCACGGGGTTTTCTAAGATGGCTTGGAAAAGAGGGCTGGCAGGGTCGATCCCCTTGTCTAAATCTTCGGGGGTCGGCTTCCGGTCGCCCAGCAGCCACTCGCACTGAGTGGAGGAAATAAAGACAAAGAATGACCCCTTTGCACCCCTTCAAGTGCCACATGAGAAGAAGGGTGAGCAACTCCAGGGCAACTGAGTCTGTCGTTTACACTTCTGTAAGTGCCTCGTTTGGCACAGCTACCAAACAGAACAGCTTAAACACTTCAGCGGATAGTTAAGACAGCAGAAAAAACAATTGCAACTAGCCTGCTTTCCATAGAAGAACTGTATATTGTGTGGGTCAGAATGAGGGGTGAGGAAATAGCCACAGACCCTTCATATCCTAGATATAGTTTCAACTCCTCCCCCTGGGACTCCCACTATAGGGCACACACTTCTAGGTTGGGTTTCTCTTTAATAAGTTTCCACCAGTTACTTCTCGTCCTGCCTTCAGGGGCTTTGGAGAATAGGTCAACCCTCTTTTCTCTGTGACAGTCCCTCAAATATTGGAAGAAGCTATCACGTTACCCCATGGATTTAAGCCCCCTGGATAGGCAGCATGTAAGAAGCCAACCAGCCCTGCAGAAGTTGCGAGAGACTCACAGCGGCGTTTTGCTGATTGTTGTTGACCCTGAGGGCGTCCACCACTTCTTTCTCGTCAAAGCCCATCTCCATTAAGGCCGCCACTGCCTGAAAAAGAACCATGGAAATGCTTACACGGGTTGCCCAACTGAATCCATTTCTTGCATCCCATTCCTGGACCCCCAGTGGCTAGTTTTGGGTGGAGCAAAGACATGCACGGTTCCCATAAGATAACGGGGGTGGCTGTTTTAGGGGGAGAGGAATTCAAAGCAGGCCATCAGCTGGTGGGAAAATGGGATTACAGATGAGCAGGTTATTGGTAGGAGACACCAAATGGCTGGGCATCCCCTCACCAGCCTTTGGCTCCTTACACTACTCCGGCTCCAGCAGAAATAAAAAATAATATTTTAAAAGCTGGAGGCTTTCTCCACTAGATGTGCCACGTGGGTAGGGAGTTCTGGGGAGGACCTTTAATTCCTTCTATGGGGCAAGAACAAAAATTGGAAGTAAAGAAGCTTTACAGCCACAATGATTGTAAGCTGAGGATGGCCAAGGCAGGAGAAGGGCCGGGCGCCGAGTATGGGGGGGGGGGTGCAAACGGGCCGGCAAGGGGGAAAACCCGGAGCAGGGAGAGTACCCGTGGATCCGGACGAAACTCTCGTTTCCTTCGTATCTTCTTGAATATTTCTGTCAGCTCATCTCTCGGCTCCTCCAGGGCGGCCGCTGAGCTGGCCCCGTTGACCGCCGGGGGGAGGGCGGGCCCCGCTTCTTCGGCTGTGCTTTCCACGGGGACGTGGCCGGGCATGGGGGCGTCAGCCGTGGGGTCGTCTGCATGCTCAATGAGCCACTCCATGGCTTGAGTCACGGACATGCTGCGGGGCAAAAGACATGCGTCAATACACGGAATAATCAATAATAATAGATAACCAGGATAATAATATGCAACAGAGACGAATTCCTTGTGTGTCCAATCACACTTGGGCAATAAAAAATTCAGTTCAATTCTATCTTCTGTTTCTTGGAAGAGACCTTGGCGGTCGTCTAGTCCAACCCCCCCACCCCCGCAGGAGACCTTTTTCACAACACGCTCATTCCAATTGTGGAAAGAGAAGCACGTTGGTCCGATTCCTGACCCAGGAATTGGGGGGGGGGGGTTTGTTGGCAGACACACACACCCAGGGCGACGTCACGGGGGAACTGGGCACTGCCCTGTTCCGTGTTCCTTGCGCTGATGTGAGCCCAACAGTGCCCCCCCCCCCGGTGGCACCTACTGGCTGAGGCGGAGGGCTTTAATGGCTCTGCTCTCAGGAAAGCCCATTTCGGTCAGCTGGCGCAGAGCAATCTCGTCCACTCGGTCATCCTCGTCTTCATCCAACATGGCTGGGGAAAGAAAAAGGGCCAGGTAAGGACGGGCTGGATTCTGTAGGTCAGTGTTTCCCAAACTTGACCATTTTAAGGCATGAGGACTTCAACTCCGAGAATTCCACAGCCAGCAACGCTGGCTGTGGAATTCTGGGAGTTGAAGTCCACATGCCTTAAAATGGTCAAGTTTGGGAAACACTGCTGTAGGTTGTCTTTGTCCAGCAACCGTTCAGGGAGTCCTCAGCTTACAACCATTCACTGAACAATCACTCAACACTGAACGGTTCATTTAGTGGCCATTCAGACTTAAAACAGCCCTGAAAAAAAAGGACTTATGACCGTTTTTCACTGCATCTGTGGTCACGTGAGCAAAATATGGCAAGGACTTTTCTTGCGACTTTGGGCCAATCACCCGGGGACGGTGAGTTTTGGTTCCGCCTTAGGAATGAAAGCTGGCTGAGTGGCTTTGGGACAGACTCTCTCTCTCTCTCAGCCCAGCCCACCTCACAGGGTTGTTCTAGGGAAAATAGGAGGAGGAGGAGGAAGGTGTGTTGTATATATTCGCCGACTTGAGTTATTTATGAGAATAATAAAGGCAGGATGCCAATAAATAAATATTTTCCCCCCACACCGTTTGCCTTCTTGAAGAGCTCGACAGCATCCGGGTTGAGGGCTAAGAGTTTCTGGGCCACTTCGATGAGCGAGACCAAGATTTTCCGAAGCTCCGTCTGAAACTAGAAGGAAGAAGAAATCAACACGTCTAAAGATGCTCCCCCAAAATCCCCCTTTCCTCTCCTTGGCACTCCGCCATTAGCCCTGACTTTTGGCAGAAGAATTAATTTCAGTTTAGTTGATTTTTCAATGCACAGTATCCCCCTCCCCCCTTTTTTTTGCTTTAATTTGCCAGGGCCCTTGAGAATCTCAAAAACAATTATTTGCCTTTTGAAAACCACCACTGGGCCTGGATGTTTTATTACAATTCTTCTATGGATACACATTCCTAAAACTGCCCGTTTTGCAGCTACCTTGACATTTAAGGCTCCTGCTTCTAAGAGAGGGATTTTCAGCCATGCTCAAGGCTCATCCTTCCCCCCCCCCCAAATGCCTGCTGTCTTTAAGAGCTCAATTAGAGCTGAAATGAAATTAGTGCCTTGACCAACGACAAGGACGTGGGGTGGATTTGTTCACTGGTCTGGTTCCAGATTGTGATTCACAGGGATTATCATCCTGCCCGAGCTGTCAATTCTCTTTTAAGGAAGCATCCAGACTGGCAATACGGGGAGTCCTCAACTTACATTTGAATCCAAAACTTTATGTTGTTAAGCAAGACAGTTGTTAAATGTGTCATGGTGGTTGTTAAGTCACCTCCCCTCCCATGCAACTGGCTTGATTTTAGGACCTTTTGTGTGACGGTCGAATTCCTAAGGATTTTTTGGGTGGGGCTGGAAAAAAACCCCCCATCATAAATGTTCTTACGCAGCTGGCTGTAAAGTCAAGCCATTTCTGAGTGCCTGAAAACGGTTATGGACTGTGTCGGGGTGTTGCTGTCACAACTGGGTCATAGGTAGCTTTTGGGACCCATCGTAACTTTGAACAATTGCTAAGTGGCCAGTCATAAGACAAGGACTACCTATATTCCAATACATCTTCTTCACCTGCAGCTGAACAAAAGCAAGGGCGGCTGCACAAATAACAGGATTGCCTCCTCCTACTGTAGTTCCCCCTCCCTGAGACTATTAAGGGATGGCCAGACAGCTGAGCAGCAGCCTCCTCTCACCCCCTGGAGAAGCCACACACTCACGTCTCTCATGTTGTGGTGGGCCACGCTCCGATCCACGCTGTGGGAGGGGAGGCTGGTGGTAGCTTTCAGGATCGCCTCCTTGTCGGGTGCCTTCGCCTCCTGCTTCCGCTGGACGGGAAAGGAATCAATGTTCAGACAACCCCCTTGGCCCTTTGACTGTTGACTGCTACTTACTCTGGCTGCCCCAAAGGACAACTATGCTTATTTTAAAGATGGGAGGCCCGCCTTACATCCGTTCGTTCATCTGTCTTCTGCCTTTATTGTTTTTGAAATAATTCAAGGTGGCGAACATATCTAACGTACCTTCCTCCTCTTTTTCCCATCACAACAACCCTGTGAGGTGGGTTGGACTGAGAGGGACCGGCCCAGTCACCCAGCCTGCTTTCTTGGCTAAGGCGGGACTAGAACTCCCAGTCGCCTGGTGATTGGCCCAAAGTCACCCAGCCAGCTTTCATGACAAAAGCTCACTTTTGCCCAAGTCTCACATGGTAAAGAATCCAGGCTGGTGATGTGACCCAGGGATGAGAGGAGGGAGCAGGTGCCAAAGTGCAGCTTGACGCACAAAGACTGAGAGTCTATCTGCATCCCGGCCCTCGGGACTCACCTTTTCCTCGGCAGAGACGTCTGCCATCTTTGGAGGCGCTGGGGGGGCCCTTTTCTTCACCAGGACCAAAACATCTAAGGAGACGAGAAGGAAATAAAGGGAATGAGATGTCACGGCTGGCTTCATTTTCTGCTTTGATAGGATGAAAAAAGTTGGAGGGAGGGGGAAAAAAAACAATGTCTTGCCCAGTGCCAAAAGGATCAAAGAATTAACTTTCTGCCTTTCAGAGTTGGCTTTTCTGAACGCCATGTGACCCCCCAGCCGCCCCCTCACCTCGATCCTGAATGTTTTCCTCCGAGACCGTCTTAGTGTCACTCAGCACCTTCTCCGAAGCGGCGTGGATGAGTTTGTGGTGCGTCACACATTTCGGGTCCTCGAGGCTGCCCGGCAAGCACTGGGGAGGGGGAAGGGGGGGGAGGAAGAGCAGGGAAGAGAGTGAACCTTTTAAAGCCGCCTCATCCTCCTTGTCCCTACGCTTCCTGGGCAAAACAGCCCCTTCCGGGGAAATGTAAAAAACTGGATGGAGAGACAGGATGTGGAGGACTCAAGAGGAGAAGAATGAAAGTTACAGGATATATGCAGGTAGTCCTCGACTTATGACCATAATGGAGCCCAACATTTCTGTGGCTAAGCCAGACAGTTTTTAAGTGAATCACTGTAGTTGTTAGTGACACGGTTGTTAAGTGAGTCTGGCTTCCCCACTGACTTCCCTTGTCAGAGGATCCTGTTTGCCTTTTTTTGCACTTAACGACTGAACGATTCGCTTACCTGCAGTAATTCACTTAACCATGGGGAAAACATTGTGAAATTGGGCATGACGCACTAAAGAACTAGCTTGTTTTAACAACCGACATTCTGGTGCCAACTGTGGTTGTAAGTTGAGGATTACTTGTACAGACCGAGCAGAGAAATAATGGGAATTTCTACACATCTATGAGGTTCCTATAAAGCTCAACTGCCTTCCATAACTATGACTTTCTTCTGCGATGTCAGGACTGGTTTATTTTTATATTCCCCCACGATGACCTTTTGCAGGCGACAGGAGATGTTATCCGTTGATCCCAAACATAAGGCTTGCCACTCTAGGTAAATGTCTGAGTTAATATCCCTTGCAGCATTCAGATTGGCTGTCTTAAAACTAGAGGCAGAACAGTCATGGAACCTGTGCCTGTTTCCAAAAGAAAAAAAAATTAAAATGGAAATGCAAAAAGCTTTCCCTCTTTTCTTAAAATAAAGTGGGCAGATTATCAAAATGAAACTAAAGATTCATTTGGTGTTCCCCAAAAGTTCACCTTACACTCATATCGGCCCATTTTAGGGGTGGTGTTTCCATGTTTTGAGTCACAGAAGGAAATCATCCAAATACTATAGAGCGTGAGCTTGTTTTTAAAACACTTGTATTTTTGCATATGAATATGCAAATTACGCAAAAACTAAATGCACATTTTTTTTTCTTTATGGAAAGCATCTGTTTTGGGATATTTCAGTCCTGAAATTTTCTCCCAGTCTTCATTTCCAAAAATAACTTTGAAATGCAAAGTCAGGGTTGGCTCAGGACACATCTGTGTGACTGTTAAACAAGCCAGCTTCTTTCTTTTTTTCTCATAAAGGAAGGGAAAACTGACCTGAATAGACACTCTAGATATGCCCTGGAGATTCCCACCAGGTCCCTAAAGTTTTTTCTGCTGGTACTGCCTTTTAAACTTGGTTACTGCAAACATTTTCTTGCGTATAAACAGCAACTGGGGAGACCAGTTGCTTTCAAGATTAGCTCACCCCATCCTACATTAAGGTGCCACTGAAACACTTCCTCCCCTGCCCAATTTTTTAAACAACCAGTTTAAGCTTCAAAACACTCTAATGCTCAAGTATATGGTCTTCAGTGAGGGTCCTGCAAACCAACAGAGGTGGCCTAGAAGGGGTGAGAATTGAAGTCTAGCCTGTCTTGGAGCCTGGATTGTACAAGCAAAGAATGACAGGAAAAAATGAAGGTACCTGGCTGTGCCGGCAGAGGATTATGGGCACTGCCTTCCAGCAGACTGGAAGCACTACCTTCTGCCCAGCTGGGGATGATAGGAGCTGAAGCCCCTGACCTCCAGAGGGCCAGCAGGTCTGGAGATAAACTGTGCTGACTGGGAACCACGGAGGCTGTAGTCAATCCCTCTGACTCGTTATGATGGGCTATGTAATCCACTACCCCCGTCAGGAGCTCCACAGGGAGGTGGGCCATAGCGCTGTGGACAATGCCCTCTAAAGGGCATGAGGAGGTGCAGGGGTCAAATATGATGGGCTACGTAGTGCATCACTCTGACACAAGTCCCAAGTGTGCGTAGGCAACAGTGCCGATTGAGGACGATGGGCACTGGAGTCAATCCAATCTGAATGGTTCAGAAGAACAGGGTGGTAGGGTATGAAGGACAAAGGAGCCCCATCACTACTGGCAGGGGCTGGCTGAGGATGATGGGCACCGGCGTCACCCTCTCTAAAAACGCTCGGCAGCTCAGGAGGCCACACTGGCCAAATGACATGGGCTATGTAGTCCATCCCCTCTGTCAGGAGCCCCAGGTGGGGGCCAACCTAGCCATGCCGGCTGAGGACGATGGGCACCGTAGCCAGCCCCTTCTGAAGGGCGGCCCGACGTAGTCCGGCCCCTCGGCCGTGGGGCGGCTCCGGCTGAGGACGAGGGGCGCTGTAGTCCCCCCGGGGGCTTACGTGCTTCAGGCAGCGCTCCTTGAGGCGCTCGATGGCCGTGTCCTCCGGGACCTCCTCCAACCACTCGGCGCCATCCAGCGCGCAGATGCGCAGCCGCAGCACCTTCGCCGCGAAGATCTTCTCCTCCTGCACGAACATTGCCGCCGCCGCCTCAGGGCCCGCGGCCCGGCCCGGCCCGACCGACTGCCCTCCGCGCCGGAAATGGACGGGCCGCGCGGCGCGCCGGGAGTTGCAGTCCCGCCGCGGAGGCCGCCGGCGCCCCGCCCCTTCCGCCCTGCCGGCTGGCCCCGGAGAGAGCGAGAGGCGGCCGCGCCGTTCCTAGACTGGGGCTCCTTGGCCCCTTTGCTGCCCCCGGCGCCCGCGGAGGGGATTGCAGCCTCGTAACGCCTGTGTGTCCGGCGTGTGGTCGCCGGATCCCCAAAACTGGGGTTCAGTCTTGGCTCCCCCGTAAAGCCTCTCCTCCCCCCCCCGCCCAAGTCTTTCCCGTGCATGCCGTTTCTGCTTTTCTTCTCCGAGCCAGGAAAGGCGTTCAGCGATTGCATCGCACCTCTGGCTTGCAGGCGAAGGGCTGACCTGGCAAGGCGGGAGCTGCCGTTGCTTTTCCTGGCGCCCGTCCACCTCCAAGCGGGGAAACGGGGTTAGTCCAGTAACCGAGTTAGGTCTGCTGGGGAGCTGCCCGCCCGTGCGGAGATGACTTTTGCACGACGGGCGCCCCATCGCCTCTCCCATTCTGCAATGTTGGGACCCCAACATTGAGGATCGTGAAGACCCCCGATTCTCCACGCAGAGCCTCACTTCATTCCGTCTTTCATTTTTTAATTACATCTATTTTATTGCAATTTCTTGGTTGAATCATTGAGTGTCAGGCAGCAAACACGTTTAATAGTCCCTGTGGGCCAGTCACCAGGAAAAGGGAGTTTCGCCTTGGGCGTGAAAACCAGCTGAGTGACTTTGGACCAGCTCCCCAGTCCCACCTTACAGGGTTGCTGTTGTGGGAAAAATAAACATATAACAAACAATTGCTATTCAAATGGAGCTTGTTGGGGACTAAAAAGCTGGCAGTACCTCATCCCAAGCTTTAATTAATTTATCAAATTTATTTGCTGCCCATCTCATGATTCAGGCGACTCTGAGGGGCTTTTGAAGGCGCTGGGAAAGAACGGGAACCAGAGGCGTAATTTTCAACATACTTTTATTATTTTGTAAATGTGAATTTTACAAAGCATTTTCTCATTATCACATTTTGTTTTTTTAAATGGATTTTTTTTTCTTTACGGTATATGAAATAGGTCTGACCACACTCTGAACTCCTATTAGAGCCAAGAGATGACTTTAAACCTTGCTTTAGAACTTGGATGCAGTTATGGTTTAATAGATCATCAATCAAGGCTTAACGTAACAGTCTTGAGCTAGATATGAGAGAAATGGCACGTAAACAACCAACAGAAAAGAAGTGAGTTAGCACAGCTGAAACGTAATTTTCGGCAGCACTGCAAAAACTTCCTTCTAAGCACTGGAATTATTATTAATTATTTTTATTATTAACAGTCATGAATTACAGTACCATTGGATACTTTGATACAGACTCTTTGAACATCGTCGTTCCCTTAAGACGCTTCTCTGACAATCGCCGAGATTGACACAGTTTTGAGACTCAAGTGCCATCCAAAGGTTCAAGTCAAAAAATATTGACAGACTCACGCATAAACTTCTGGTTTTTTTTTTATCATTTTGGAACACTCAAAAAATAGTATTGCAAGGTTTGGCCCCCTCGCCCGCCCTTTCCCCCTCCCTCCTCCTCCCGGTTTCGGTCGCAAAAGTGCAAATAAGGTGGAAAAGAAAAAAAAGCAGATTTGAGCCTGGAAAGATCTGGAGAAGTTTAGAAGCGCCAGTGAATTTTGCTTCTATCCTAGCAAAAAGATTGGCTGTTGGAAGATTTTGGCAGATTTGGATAAAAGGGGTTCTCACCGCAGCAACTACAGGAATGTGGACATTAAATGGATGTTTCCCCTTTTTATGTTTTTTATTTGTATTTTGCATTTCTGGACCGCCCCTCTCCCTCAAATGTTTTAATCTATTCCCCCAAAAGGAGCCTTAAATTCACGGCAACTATTAACAACTGCTGAACTAGTACTATTGGATGAGATTTATACATCAGCTTGGAAGAGCAGAAATGTGATGGTCTTTTGTCCAGCAAAGATGTCCTTGGGAGGGGTGCCACCTCTGTAGCACCTGGACATCTGGACCTGGAGCCTGTCCTGCAGAGGGCTCCATGCAACCAGTTTTGGGGGGGGGTAATTTATCTAGAGAGGGGCAGGTCAGCAAAAAGTCTACAAGAGAAGGCTGCAGAAATCAGTGCTAAGGGGCGAGAGCTACCATGTTTTTTGGGGGGTGGGTGGGTGGGTGTTTGGCAGTCTTTAGAAGCGAGCCCCCTGACACCAGTGGGCCCTTCCCAGCTGCAAAGGTGGAGGGGTCCCTTCCTGTCTTTGAAACCACCTGGCAGGTAGGGAGACTTCTCCTGTCTCGCTGGTCCCCAAAGGCTGCCACACCTTCCCCCCCCCACCAGAAAGCAGGTGACGAAAGCAGCAGGATTTTACATGCCCTGAGCTGCCCTTGGAGGACATCAGAAGAAACGGGGTGGGGAATAAAACTTTGTGCCAGTAAAGCTAAGGGCGATCTACCAATGTCTTTCTTAAGGCCACATGGGGGGGGGGGGAAATAGAGCAGAAAAATACACTTTGGGGCCGTAGTTAGGTGTCAGTGGGGAAGGGGCAGATATTTTAAAGTGAGGTCAATTTGGAGCCAAGAGAGAATATGGAAAAAATAGAAAAATGCCCAAAGGAAGGAACTGCTTAGAGTGCTTGGCGGCTGCTGATGGGTCCTTTCCAAGGAAGGAATGGAAATCCTAAGAGCAAAACTGAGGACAAGTGAGAAGGAAACAAGAAAGAAAAAGAAAGAAAGAAAGAAAGATAGAAAAAGAAAGAAAGAGATAGAAAAAGAAAGAGAAAGGGGAGGATAGAAGGAGGGAGATGAAGAGGAAGGAAAGAGGGAGAAAGGATGGAGAAAAGAAAGGAAGAGAGGCAAGGAAGAAGAAGGGGAAGGAAAGAAAGATTTGGCTGTGTGATATTTCTTTTAACATCCAGATCATTTCTACAGCAACTTAAGAGTAGAATTAAAAGCATTTCCCATCCCACCAAGGAAATTAAACCAAAAGGAGAAACTGAAACAAATGACAATGTGCAGAATATGGCTTAATATCAACTTTGGAATGAAAATGAATTTCTGGAACCTTACGTTTTGCTTGGTCAAGAGCTTTGTGGCAGACTCCAAGGGGGGGGGGCTTCAGAGGACAGCCCCCTCTGCCCACCCCCATGGAATTAAAGACCACGGATTGGAGAGAAGGGCAACAGGAGACCCGCAAAAACCCCAAATTCCAGAAAATGGGAAGAAATCCTACAAGGATTCCCAATCGTGGCCATCGCTAAAGTCCATCCGAGTTTTCTTTTTAGTCTTCTCTTCTTTAAAAAGGTGCTTGATATAACTTTTCATATACATATATAATATTTATATATATATATATATATAATATACACAGGTAATATTGCTAACAGTCAAGCATTCAGAATAAAGGTGCAGACATACCATAAATATGTGTTTTTTTTCTCTTTTCCTAGGTTAAATCTACAGGGACGTCGTTCCCACCTCCACGGGATGCCTCAATACAGCCCGAGATCAACTTCCGGGCACCGATGCCCTCCCCAGAGTCACCTGGCTGGGAAGCATGGAAGTTGGAATCCAACCCAAGACAGGAGTGCCAGGTTGGGGAAGGGCATGGTCAATGAATGGGGGACGGGGGGAATGGAAAAGGGAATTGGATAAGCTATGGAAATCAAATCTTTTTTTCTCTCCATGGGGAGGAACAGAATAAGGCACTAAGAAAAAACCAGGTCGTGATTAATTTCCCCTTTGTTTTGCAGTCCTTCATGGCCAAGAGTTCTTTTTTTTTTTTTAAGAGGGGGGGCTTTCACCGTTTTCCTTTCTGGCTGGGAAGGGGAAAAGCCTCCAAGAGGGGCCACCAAGGACCCCCGCCCCACATCATGGGGGTCATTTAGTGCAAGCGGCTGGCCTCCCCCTTCGAAGACTGGGAACACCCCACCCTGCCTTAAAACTGTTCACATTGTCTTCAGGGTTTTTTTTTTCTCTCTTTCCCCTCTTTCCTTCTTGTCCGAAAGTCAAAAGCCACCGAGAAAATCCAAGCCCGCCTCTTCCCGCCCCCCCCCAGCTCGCCCCCAAAAGAAAGACATACATAAAATTGTGCTTGATACAAAAATATATTCGAACTGTGCAACGCGATGCTCTCTGCGGATCCTGTTCTGAGCCGTTCAAGTATTTGGTTTCGTCCTGCGACTTTTACTGGGGGGGGGGGAGGGAACCAGGATGGATGGATGGATGAGCCCCCTGGCTGGCTGCAAAAGAAGCCAAGCGCAGGTGGATTTGGCTAGGTAAAGGGAATCGGGAAACCAGGAGGAGATCCCAGCACTGTCGGCTGGGCCGGGCCATTTTTTTAAAAAATTAATCCCTTATTGCTGCCAGGAAAATAAATCGAAAAGTCCTTCAAATCCCCCGGAGGAGACGGGCTCCTCTTTCGCCTCCCTGAAGCTCAATGGCAAGCAAAGCAGCCATATTTGGGGGCTGTGTTGCCCACCACAACCGCAACCTTTTCGAAATGGAAGTCTAGCCACAAGCGGATTAGGTCTTCCCGTCGTCGTTTAGGAGAATGACCGGACGGATTTTTTTTGGGGGGGGGGGGAATCCGGCTATTCCCGTAGGGCAGTGTTTCCCAAACTTGACCATTTTAAGGCATGTGGACTTCAACTCCCAGAATTCCACAGCCAGCAATGCTGGCTGTGGAATTCTGGGAGTTGAAGTCCACATGCCTTAAAATGGTCAAGTTTGGGAAACACTGCCGTAGGGTGCACAATCTCCAACGCAAAGCCAGCGATTCTTCCTTCCTCGTCTAAAGTTAGACTCAAATGCAATGGGGAAAAAAGTCCACACGAGCTACATAAGCTCCTTGGCCAAATGGCATGCATTTCGCTATAAGTAGCTCCCCCATTCCTGGGAAAAAGAGCCAAGAAGCCTATGGTTCCCTCCTATACATCACCCCGACCCCCATAATGCACTCAACTCTCCATTTTGCCCTGAGCAACTAAGCAGGAGCCAAATGACTGCATTGCTTCAAATCGTTTTATGCCAACTTTTCTCAATCTTGGCGGTCACTTTAAGATGTATAGACTTCAACTCCCAGAATTCTGTGCCGGCTGGGGAATTCTGGGAGTTGAGGTCTTACAGTGGCCAAGCTTAATGTGCTCCAGGCAGAAAACCTAGACATCTCAAACTGCCTTAAACTCAGGGTGCCGCTTGCTCAGAGCTTCCTCGCAAACGGAAAGGAGCCAACACTTTCCTTCGCAAGATTAGAAAGCCGGACGACGGAGTCGGAGGAGAAGAATGGCGGAAAGGAAAGACATCTCAACTTTTGATGCCCGTTAGTGTGGGGAACGCAGCTCCCCATTTACTACAACCCGCTCGGGTGAGTTTCTCCGGGATGCTCAACAATGCAAACTTCCGGCCAAGGATTCAACCCGGAGATCCGAGCCAAGGACCTGCTCCAAGCTGAACCGAATCAAACCAGGATAACGATCACCATGAATTTCTCCCAAGCCCAGACGGCTGGTTCTTTGTTGCTGAACAGGACGGCGGTGGGGGTGGACATGGCCTCGTTCCTTCTTCTTGGAGGGAAGGAACCCCGCTACTCCTTTCTGTACTGATCTGGGAGCAAGGAGGTCTTCCTACCGGGCCAGGCCTTCAGGGATCCTAAATACGAGCAGACTAAAAAAAATCAAATTTTCTCAGGCAACGGTAGCAGTTCAGTAGGTAAATGGTTTGATCACGTGTGTGTGTTTTGTTTCTTTTGTAATTAATAAGAACATGCAAGCAGCTTTAGGATTACAGATCCTTCCAGAGAGCGGTCTGGTTCATAAGGCCCCCCCGTAGGCCACCTCTGGCCTCGCCGCAGGCGTCTCCGGCCGGCTGGGGGACCCCGGTCCTTCTTCGAAGGGCTGGGAGGTGCTTTGGGTGTCGGAAGCCATGGCTTCTGGCCCAGCAGACTCCTGGATGACCGAGCTGGCCCCTTCACCCTCCTCGCTCGGCTCAAACAAGGGGCCGGTCCCGTTGCTCTGGTCAACTGTTACGGTGTTAGTTCTGAGGGCCACGATCGTCCCGGAATCCCCTCTCCTTTCCGCGTAGATCCGTTGTTCAAACATCTGAGCGGAGGAAGGCTGGAATTCGGGATCCAGGAGGACGTTGGTGGTGGTGGAGCCCATGACGGAACGGTACATCTCCATCCCCTCGGGCAGCATGGACTTAATTTTGGGAAGCCACCGCTTGCGCACCCGGCGGGCGTTGGTGCACATGTCGGCCGCAATGACGTTCATCTCACTCTCCTTGAAACTGGGGGCAAAATTCTGACAATACACTGCAAAGACAGGGGGGTGGGGGGTTAGCCGAGAGCAGGAAGAGGCTGCCAGGGCAACTCACAGGGTAGGCTGGGCAAGTAGGTCCACGGGGGCTTCTCCTCAGGAAGTGAGGATCAAGAAATGAAAGGGCTTTGAGGAGATTTGTGGCTGTCTAGTCAGGACGTGGTGGGGATTCTGCTCTGGAAAGTCTGTCTGTCTGTTCTTTCTGTCTGTCCTTTCTTTCTTTCTTTCTTTCTTTCTTTCTTTCTTTCTTTCTTTCTTTCTTTCTTTCTTTCTTTCTTTCTTTCCTTCCTTCCTTCCTTCCTTCCTTTTCTTCTTTCTTTCCTTCCTTACTTCTTCCTTCCTTCCTTCCTTCCTTCCTTCCTTTCTTTCCTTCCTTCTTTCCTTCTTTCTTTCTTTCATCTCCACCCATCCAAAAGTCCCCCATCCCCCATCCCAATGGAAGGAGAATTGGGCAACAGCTGACTATGTTGTTGACTGCTCCATTTTAAGCAACTCTCGCTAGCAAGAGGTGGGAGAGAAATCCACTTTTTCCTCTGCTTGGTTTTAGAAAAGATTAAAATAATCACCAGGTCCCCAAAGGGCCGTCTGTATCCGCCTACTTACATTTCACAGCGTTAAGCACCCGGCTCTCCAGGGGTTTCCGGCTGGGGTCACTGGTGGAAGAGCGGATTCCTGTTCCGCAGCTGTTGGCCAAGGTGTTCCTGTTTCCAGAAGAAGCGGGGGGGGGGGGAAGGAAACAAAAACCTCAGGAAAAGGTAGGCCAAAACTTACAACCACTTATTTAGCCTTGCTGGCTGGGGAATTCTGGGAACTGAAGTCCACAGATCTTAAAACTGGGAAAAAAAAAATCCAGAATCACCAACATTCCCAGATCACTTTTAAAAAAAGTAACTTGGTTTTTCAAAACTAACAGCAACCAGATAAAAAAGCCTTCTAATGTTATTTTATGCAAGGACCTCCACTCTCCTCCCGTACGCAGTGTCCGCCAGATAGGTGGGTTTCATTTCCCAGAATTCTCCACAAGGGCCAGGCTGGCTGAGGAATTCTGGGAGCTGCAAGTCCACCTCTCTGACCTCAAAGCCAGCGTCTCCCACGGCTGGGCAAAAGAGCTGGGGGGCGCCGGGCAGATCCTAACCCACCCACCCTCGTTTAAAGATGGAGCCCAAGGCAGTCCCACCTTAGACATGAAATCACCAGGTGATGAGTTCTAGTCCTGCCTAACCTTCCTGGTTTTCAGAGTGGTTCTTCTGGGTTCTGCTCTTACCCCACAAAGGTCTTTGCTGTTCCTTTCTGGCTGTAGGAAAGTATTGTTACCCAGACAGAAAACGAAGGGCAGTGCAGGTGGTGATGGTCACCCTACCTGTCGAAGAACGTGGCCAGGAGGCGTCGTAGGAGGACTTTGTGTTTCACACCTGCACAGAGATGACAGTTCATGAGCTGTCCTCGGGTGATGTAAACCCCAGAACCTAGGTGAAAGAAGGGGGGGGGGGAGGAGGAGAGAGGCTAAGCAGCTGCGGCCACTGCCCACCATTCCAGATGCTGGAACCTTTGCAACCCTGGAGAAACCACATCTGGGACCAATCTAAGCAGCCAGACCTTGGGACAGACACAATACGTTGACACTGAGATGCTTCCAAACAGCTGGGAAGGTGAACTTCCCTAGGATGACCACCTCCAGAAGACACGGGGCATCGGCCATTCTTCTGACTTGGCTGGGTGCACTGGAGGGAACTACAACTCCCAGCTTCCCACAGGCCTCCACCCCGGAGAAGAGGTGAAGACGTCGGATCGGCAGCTGGGAGAAAGGCATTCAAGGCCTCCCTCAAGGACAACTAGACCTTCTCCAAGCAGCTGAAGTCTATGTTGAGCCTCCAACCGGCCAGGCCTATATTAACTAAGATAAATGGTGGTTGGGAAAAGGGCAAACACCACCGTTGTATTGGTTGATAAGGGGAACTGAATTCCTACAACCTCTGCTGCTAATATTCCTTCTTGCCAACCGTGAAAACTTGCATCGCCTAGTCTAGTTTAATCTAGTGAAAAGAAGGATTGGGTGACACGACAGCAGTCTCCCAACATTTGAGGGGCTGCCACAGAGAAGAGGGGGATCCACCTCTTCTCCAAAGCCCCTGAAGGCAGGGCAAGAAGCAACGGATGGAAGATCTTTAAAGAGAGAGCCAGCCTAGAACTAAGGAGTGAGAACAATCCATCAGGGGAATGGCTTTCTTGACAACGAACAGGTGGCAAAATGGGGGCAAAAGTCACTTAACAAAAAAATTGGGGGCCTCAGGTATGGCCGTTAAGTCAAGGACAACCTGTATAGCAAAGCAACCAACACAATTTGGTGTCCTTTGTTTCTCGTGACCGCCCAGACACCTTCGTGATCTTCGGAAGAAGCAGGGAAAGGGAGGGATGAAGGGAGTGTGAGGAAATTCAATTAGATGCTTTAAAAAAATAAATAAAATCAGTAATTCCCAGCAGAGCAATTACCCCGTTCGGAAGTACTACTGAGGGACGCTGCGTGTTCCCAGCCCCTGAGGAACACCTGCCTCTCAAGGCCATGGGCAGAGTTTAAAAGCAGAGGCTAATCAGAGGAAGAAGGAATTTGTTTGCCAAACCAAAACCTTTTAGTTCATTATTTCGTTTATCCAACTGAGGCACAGCAAGCTCTTGGCTTACAACATTTATTACACCAGCACGGAAAACGAACAGCCTTGTCAGTCCTCCTCCTTGTGAATGCCACGGCATCCCTCCGGCCACACGGCCCCAGCAAAGGGGTCGTAACGTCGTGCAAGAGCCACTTAACAACCGCCTTGCTTAAAAATGGAACTGATGGTCCCCAATGTGGTCCTAATTCGAGGATAACCCGTATTGTAAGGCAAGACCTACAAGACCCCGGTTGAGCAAAGTCTGGAAGTAAGAGACTAACTTCCGCCCTGGACTTTTCCCCCTAAATAACCATCAAGCATTGCAGCCAAAATAAACCCAATGAGGCATTTAAAACCCAGTCATTGTATAGCCCATGCCCGCGTTCTTCAACCTTGGCAACTTTGTTTGGCCCACCCAGAGAGAGGTCCTGTTCATAAATACCTGCAACCAGTTCAAGTTTTTCTCCGGGATCACCTTCCGAGTAGAGCTTCGGGTGGCAGCGGTAACCGATCTGGCTGATCAGACTCGCCGGAAGAGCCACCAAATCGCGCCGTATCAGGACGCAGGAGCGGCTCTCCACGGGAATTTGCTCCGGCTTCTCTGGAGGCCCTTGGAAAGGAGGAGAAAAGTCACACTCAGGAATTGTGAGGGAGGGGGGGTCAGTGTGAAAAATTGTTCTCGCAAAGAGTTGGTTGGAGACGTAAGCTCGGTTCTTTTCTGGCATGGTGCAAGGTGTGAAAATCAGCTCCTGGTGTTGCTTTTTAATGGGGGGGGGGGAACAGGGGCCCAGCGTTGACTGCACCTTGCTGCAAATCACTATTATGATTTTTATTTTAATTGTTTGTATCTTGTCTTTATTATTTTTACAAATAACTTGAAGTCACCAGAGGCCGAGCTCGACTCAAAGGATCCTGTTTTCTGCAGGGTCAGCCCTTCCTTCGCTCTGGGAAGACCCAATTTCATTGCTACTTATCAGCAATCTTGGGGTTGAGGACTCTTAAACCCACGGGAGGAGGAAGAAGAATAAAGAACCAAGATCTGACAATGATCGTCAAACAAGCCAATCCATTTCTTTTGACTGCCTGGTCGGCTTTCTCAAGATCTCAGACCAGTGGCTTTCCCTGAGCAGGCTGCAAATATAACCAGAGACTTTTCACGTCCATCTCAGGATAAAAGCAGAGGAGATAAAGAAAGAGTTCAGAAGAGGTAGACAACAAGCTCTAGAAGGACCAGGGGAGGAGACATGATAGCAGGGCTCCAATGTCTGGGGCTGCTGCAAAGAAGAGGGGCTCAACTTATTTTCCAAAGCACCATAAGGCAAAACAAGAAACAACGGATGGAAACTCATCAAGGAGAGAAGCAACCTGGAACTAAGGAGAAATTTCCTGACAGGGAGAACAACTAATCAGTGGAACAGCCTGCCTCCAGAAGCTGAGAATGCTCCAACACTGGAGGCTTTTAAGGAGAGACTGGACTGCCATTTGTCTGAAATGGGATAGGGTTTCCTGTCTGAGTGGGGGGTTGGACTAGAAGACCTCCAAGGTCCCTTTGCTATTCTGTGAAGCGTATGGGGAAGAGGAAGCAAATAGGATTACCTGCATAGCTGCCAGTAGACTTGATGTACATCTGCCCGTACTGCTCTTCCGTCATGGTGTCATAGGCTTCGTCATCCTCCTCATCCTCTTCATTGTGGTAGGACGTGGGGCTGTCCGTGGTGGGGATGCTGCTGGCCCCGGGACTCGTCCGCTCTCCCTGGACATACGGAGCCTGCGAGATGCTGGAGATGAGCGGGGCGAGGCTGGGCACACCGTAGTAGGAGACGCGGGACAGCTTGACCGCCGTGGTGCCCGAGGAGCTGCCCGCCGCTGTGTCTCGCAGGCCCCCCTCCAGGGACCTCTTGGCCGGCAGTCCCGGCAGCGGCGTCTGCTGCTCCGGGTTCTCGTGCTTGACCCGGGTGAGGAGCGGGATGGGTACCGAAGGGGACATGACGTAAGGCATGGAGGCCATCTGCACGGGGTTGCAGGGACTCTGGGGCTCCGAGCCGGCCTCTTCGATCATGGCCGTCTGAGAGTCACAGTGGGGGGAGCTGACCTTGAACATGAGGTCGGTCCCTTTCTCCACAATGTGCTGGATTTGCAGGAATCCCGCCGTGTACATCACCACCAGCTGCTCGCTGGCTGCCATGGTCAGCTTGCCGGTGTAGCAAAAGGAGAGGATTTGTTGGAAGCAGGTGGCCGGGACGGAGCTGGGCAGCTCAAACGCACTTTTGCTGTTCCCGCTGAAGAGGTCCCGGAAGTACAGGCTGCTGGCGGCCAGCACTGCTCGGTGGGCCTTGAAGGCCTGGCCCTTGACCACGATGGAGACATCGCAGTAGAGCCCCAGCAGCCTCTGCTCGTTCAGGGAGCCCAGCACGGTGTTCCCAAAATTGGGGATCTCGATGTGCAGCATCTGCGACATGTCTCGCCCCAGCCTTACACACTCAGCGCGACAGCGTCCGACACAAAGTGCATCTGTGGGGGTGGGGGGGAAGAGAGGGAGAGAAACACACTTGGTTGAGTTGGGCGCCAATAAGAAAACTGAATGTAGGTAGTCCTCGGCTTACAACAGTTCGTTTAGTGACCGCTTGAGGTTACAACGGCACTGAAAAAAGTCAGCACTGACTCTGACCTTTTTTCACACAACCATTGCAGCATCTCCAGGGTCAGGTGATCAAAATTTGGACACTGGGCAACTGACTCGTATTTACGACGGCCGCTGGGTCACATGATCGGCTTTTGCGACTTTCTGGCAAGCAAGGTCTTATCAGAAAGTGGAAAGCCACCGAGTCACATATTGAGACGTGCAAAAAAGCGACAACAACGAGGATGGGGGGGGGGAGGAGGCACTTCTATGGATATCTGCCGGGCTCTCTGCCTGGCATCCCAAACAGAGAAGCCGGCTGTGACGAGGGATGCAGCAAAACCCGGGAGAAGGAAGTGGGCATCTTCAGCTACTCTGAAAGAAATTCAGCGTATTTGACTTTGGCAAGCAGAGCGAGGCTTCCCAGCCTTCCCTTCCCCAGCTGGGGCCTCTGATGGGGGCCAGGCGGGGCTGCAACCATCCTGCCTCCAAATCCCACCCACCTACAGACCCCATCACACTTCACCTCTGGGGGTCGTCCCTGCCAGGAAAGAGGCATTTTCCCAAGAGGGGGGGGGAGCTGGAATTAAGAGCTGGGGGAAAAAGAAAAACAAGAAAACCCAAAGGAGCTTTCGAGGAGATAACTGCATCCCTGGTGCCCATTCTGGGCAGCCATCTCTGGGGGCCAGCCAATGCCACGAGTATCCCCGTGCGGGAAACTTCTGCTCTGCTCAGATCCGTCTGCCTGCTTTCCCGTGGACGGACGTACCTTTAACCGGGATGGAAACCGGAGCTCGGCTCTTCCTGGGAAGGTCCCCTAAGCCGAGGGAAGGAGGACGGGGCAAAGGAAGGGGCAAAGGAAGCAACGGGGCATCCCTTCTCAGTCCCTTCCTTCGCCCGAGCGGTGAGAAGCTCCTGGTTTTTCAGCTAAGTCCGATTTCTCGAGGAGCAGCAGCAGAGCAGCAGCAGGAATAAAATCCGGGGCTGGGAGTCCCGGTGGCTGGATGGGAGTTGAACGGTTCAGCCGGTTCTCTGCAATGAATAACAGCCTTTGATAAGGATTCCCGGTGCAAGTGCCAATTTCGAAGCGGAGAAAGCAGAGAAAAGGGGGGCAGAGAAAGAGAGAGAGGAGAGAGCAAGAGAAAGGAAGGAAGAAAGAAGGGGGGGGGAATGAATCAATGCCAAGGAAATGCTGTGAAGTCTTGATTCAAGAGAGACTTCTGATGAGTCACTGCAGCCCAAACAAAGATGGCAGATATACTGCACTCTGCTGATGAAGCGCTCAGACGATGCCCCACCAGCCACCACCGGGTGCTGGTTTTCTTTCTTTCCTCTTTCTTCTCCCCCCCTCCTCCCCCTCCTCCACCTTTTCACTTTTTGGGGGGGGATTTATGGTGCCGGTTTTGCATATGAATTGCCTCCTCCTCCTCCTCCTCTGCCACTCTCTAGGACATTTGGAGTGCCAGAGCAGTTCCAAGTCTTTCAAGCAATCTGCAGTGCTGATGCAGCTTTTGGGTTAACCCCCTCCTGGATGGAGAGGAATTGAATTGAATTGAATGGCTTTATTTGGCTGAGACACACAAGGAATTCGGCTCCGACACAGAAGCACAGAAGTCACACCCGCAAAAGCAGCAGTGAAAATAACCCATAACAATAACAATAATAACAACAATAATAACAATAATAATAATGCTGCATTGGAAGATCTGCAAGAAATACCATTTGCCTACAAGCAAGAACTGGGGGGGGGAGAGAACCATAAGACAGAGAAAAGTAATAGAAAATTAAAAAGCTAAATTGCTCTGGGACGTTAGAATTCGAACAGACAGGCACCTGTCACACAACACCCCAGACTTTAACAACTGTCGATAAGAAAGGCAAAAAAAAAAAAAAAGTCTGGATAGTGGATATGGCAGTTCCTGGAGACAGCAAAATAGAAGAGAAAGTACTGGAGAAGATCACAAAATACAAAAACCTGCGGATAGAAATAAAATGACCGTGGCAAAAAAAAAGCAAAGGGAGAACCAATATAATAGTGCAATTTGAAAACATCTGGAGCACCCCTTGAACCCCATCGGCCAATTGCAAAAGGCAGCTGTGCTTGGAACAACTTTCATCTTGTGACGATACCCCTAACGTCATAAAACGTCAACCATCACCTATCCCAGGTCCTTGGGATGGACTCGATAAATAGAGAAAAATGCCAAATATAATCTGAACATCTGGCTGACTGCGTGCAACGAATCATAATACCAATACAAGGGGGAGGTAAAGAAGATAATAATAAGGATAAATAACAGCACAGCCATATTATATGGGTTAATATACACAGACATTAGACAGAACTGCGAGAATTAGTTGCTCACCACCGGTTTCTCTGTAAACTGTCCCAGGCCATTCTTCCAAGAAAGCAGCTTTTGGGGGTTCCCCAATCCTAGCCAACCCCTCCCCCAGCCCAAAGTGGGGGTTCGGAGACAACCAGAAGAGAGGAAATGGGGTGAATGGACAGAATAGCAGTATAAGGTAGTCCTCAGCTTACGACCCCCACTGAGCCCCCAAATTTCTATGGCTAAATGAGACATGTGTTAAGTGAATTTTGCCCCATTTTATGACCTTTCTGGCCACAGTTGTTACTTCTGCAGCAACTGCATCCCATTTGGCTGTTAACTGGGCTATGTATTTTGCATGCCCGCCAGGTGGCATCTGTGCCCCAACGCCATCTTTCTTAAAGACAGTCCTTTCCTTGTTCAGCCCACTCGCCCCGGCCGGCGGCAGAAATGTGTCCCTTGGCACAATGCAAACTCCTGAGCCAGCCTTGTTTTGAGTGAAGGGATCCTGCCCATTTACGCCTTCCATAAATGCATTTTCTTGGGTGCCAAAACTTTGGGCATCCTACGACAGCTTCCCTGGAGAGAAAGGTCCCTGCCCCGGGAGAGACATAATGCAATTCTGCAACCTGCTGTGAAATGCTGCAATTGGATAGCTTCTCTGCCTAGGCTTAGTCTTCACCAATAAAAGGAAACCAGGTTTATTTGAGAAGTGTGTGTGTGTGGGGGGGGCAACTGGAATCCAAAATCACAAGGGTATCAGGTACCATGACTAACATTTCCCCACTCCAAGCATTGACAGGTTGAGAAAAACCTTCTCAAACCTGAAACAGACCCCAGATGTGTGGTCATCAACTCCCTGATTTTTCAGACACGACAACGTGACCATCATTGCTAGGGAGGCTGGAAATTGAAAGATGCCTCCAGACCCCAATCCTCAGAATTTCTCAGCTAGCAGGGCAATTGCTAAGGATTCTGGGCATTGACGGTCTGGAAACGTAGAAGAAATTAAGACTTGAGGAGGGTTGGCCAGCCTTGCTCAAGTTGGTGCCCTCCAGATTGTGTGGAATCTCAACTGTCACATCCCTCAGGCAGCCTGGTTCCGATTCCATGATTTTATCTTATTTTGTTTACCTTGTTTATATTAATTATCTCTCCAAGAGGAAGGCCAGCAGGATGGGAAAGGTGCCTCTAGCATCGGAATTCAAGGTTCAGAGAAAAGAGGAAAGAACAAAGCAGACTGAGAAAGAGTGGAATCACGTCACAGCATAAAAAGGAGCCCATAAAAATAAAAAGTCTCCAGAGTTGCGTAGGGCGGGAGGGACAATCGGAGCAAGGAGAGCCAGAGGACCATAACTGGACAGCCATGTTCTCTGCACGTACCTCGGAGTCCCTCCTTGACCAATTACTCACTCTCAAAAGGGTGACAATCAGCCCTGAGGGGAAAAATCTACTGGCTTTCTTTCAATGCAAACTCAGTTCTCCAGATTCCCAGAATCAAGTTGGGGGCAGCAGGAAAGGGGGTAAAGCTTCAGAGACGACCCCCTTCCACGATTCCTCACTTTTCGTCCTGCCCTCCTCAAAACTGGACCAAGATAGCCCAAGCCAGAGATCCCACCCACTTTGTCTTTCTTCCCGGGAGGTGATGCAGATCCCCCTCCTCCAAATTCCCGCAAGGAGACCCCTCCCCACTTCTCGCGTCCCGCAGACCCCAACCACAAGGCATCCCTGAGAGAAAGAGTTTTATCTCAAGCCCCCTCCCCAGTTAACAGCCTTCGCCTCGATGCAGACCACCTTACGTGCCTGGGCTGGGGGGAGAGGGCGAAGCGAGGAGAGCTGAAGGAGAAAGGCAGCAGCTCCGACACACTCAGAAGGCCCCCCGGGAGTCCTCCTTGCTTCGGTCCCCTCTCCTGGGGTGGGGGCACGGCCTGAGCTTTGGGGCTCCTTTGCCCTCCCTTCTCCGGCGAGTTACTCTGTGAGTCAGCAGAAAGAGGCATGAGAAAACCTAAGGAAGGCTGCCTAGATCTGATGCAACCGCACGGGGGTTTTAGAAAAAAGAGAGCAGGAAAGCCACATGAAAAGGCCGGGTGGGGAAGCGGCACACGCCAGTCAGCCAGCCCAGCGCTGCCGGGAGGTTGCTGGGCTGGGTTCAGCCAGCCGGAGGGCAAACAGCAGCCACCTCAGCTGCTGCCAAGCCAAGGAAGGTCCAGACACCTGCAGAAATCCTGTCCCCCCCCCCGACCCCTTCTGGAAAGCCGAATTAGAATTACAGAATAAAAAAGATGGAAAAGAGATCTTGGAGGTCTTCTAGTCCAACCCCCTGCTCGAGCAGGAACCCTACCCCATTCTGGACAAGTGGCTGTCTAATCTTTTCTTTAAAACTTCCAGTGTTGGAGCATCCACAACCTCTGGAGGCAACTTCCGTTCCACCGATTAATTGTTCTCACTGTCAGGAAATTTCTAGTTCTAGATTGATTCCTTCCTTCCTTCCTCCCATCCATCCATCCATCCATCCCTTTTACAAGTAACTTAAGGCAGCATACCTTAACATAGAATCATAGGGTTGAAAGGAACCAATCCCTTTCCCAAGGAAAGACATTTCATACTCAAAGGGGTTTTCAATTTTGGCAATTTTAAGATGTGTGGATTTCAACTCCCAGAAGCCAGCTGGGCTTGAAGTCCCAAGTCTTAAAAATTGCCAAGATTGGATCCTCCTGCTTTATAGCAGTCTGGACAAATGGTTCCCCGATTTTTTCTTTGCAACAGGTGACCCGGCAGAAGGGCACCTGGCTCTAGGTTGAGCCTCACGTGGAACTCACAGGTCAACAGTCAAACCTCTCTGGGGGGGGGGGCAGGGAGAGGATCACGGTGGGGCAATTTGCAGCAGAGACCAGTGTGAGCATGGATGTTCCCACACCCCCAATGCCGTAGGCTTGGCTTGGCCAAAACTAGCCACCACCGCTCCGCATGTTCTTCCATCGCCCTGTCCCCAGAGAGAGAATTAACAAGATGTTCCTATAAATTTCTTTCAATAGTGGAACAGAAATCCAACTACTGAGAGCTCAGCGGCTGTCCAGATGTTCAGCCTTCCTTTTCATCTGCTGCCTGCCAGATGTTCCAAGAGACCGTGCTCTCTGACTCTGCACCCTCCAGATGTTTTTTGAGAGCACAAGGCTGCTATTTCCAGCCAATATGAGCAAAGGCTGTGGACTTGGAGAGCTGGAATCCTGTCACTTATGGAAGGCTGAGGGTGTGAATGGACAAAAGTGGCTGGCAAAGATGGAAGGTCGTTTGTACATCAGCCCCACTTTTCTTATTTTGCATCTCAGCTCAGATGCTCAATAATCAAGAATAAGGATGAGGAATGGTGAAGAACAAGGCTCAACGTTCTACAATGGATTCTGCTTAAATCTCCATCTCTAGATGTCTAAAGACTGCAATTCCCAGAATTCCTCTGGCTAGCTGGAAAACATCTGGAGGGCACCAGATTGGGGGAAACTGTTCCAGCACACAGTTCCTCTCGATATGGCAGGCAACTACGCTGCATTTGCTGTTTCAAACAGCCCCTTTGGCTAGAACTTCCATATTCCTCCTGGGCGCTTTTGATGTGTCATTGTGGGTTTCAGATCCTTAATTTGATATGATTTCTTCAGCGATGTTTGTGCTGTGGTTTCTGAGATGGACTATTAGATGGGGGAAGCAGAG